TAGGCATACACACACTTGCGTCCAGCAAGAGTTTCAAACCACCAGGTCTGGGACTTGAACCATGGTTGGCCATGTGGGAGTCCAGCAACTTAACCACTATGCCATCTTCTGGCTCTCTCATCTCTTATTCTTATGGTCTATGGAAGTCATAAAAAAAAAAAAAAGGCAGCTACTGCTATTACGAGAATTTTGACTGGTACTATGGTCAATATCTATCATTTTTGTTGGAGAGTATGCAAGCAGTACTTTGTATCCTTGTAGCTTGGTGGCCCAGGTCATGATCTGCCATGCTCTGGAGAGGGAAATATGGCCTTTTGGTATTGTTTACCACACTACCCAGCAACCAGCTATGGGTTATTTGGGAACTGTTGGTGACCGTTCTGCCCAAACAGGGCTACTGATTTTACAACGTGTCGTTCAGCCTGGGGATATTATCCGCTGATTCATGGGCTGCGTGTAACCCCCCGCCTCTCCTTCATTTCCAACACGCCCAGGCTGACCATAACGATCTCCACTTCTGCTTCGCGCTGCCCCTCTTGGAGTTCACACCCACACCGAGTCCTACCGCAGCGAGCGCAAGGCAGCAAGTGCCGGATCGCGAAGGATTCTGTCACAGAACGTTGGACTCACAGTCGGCCGAACTGAGGTGGTATGATTGGTTCGGAGATGCTTTCAACCCCCCTTTGACTACATCGAAACAATTTCTCGTTAATTTATGTTTTGACTTGTTTTTAATATATTCCAATACAAATATTCAGGGACAAATTATCCAATCAGATACGATTGATCCCCTAACCACTTTCAAGTTAATAAATATTTATAAAATAAATTAAACAGAAGGGGAAAGGTCGAAGACTTCCTTTAAAACAAATTACATGTGTGTGCCTATAATCCTGACGGGAAGAAGGGGAGGAAAATAAGATTGAGGTGTGACCATGGCCTACTGTGGGGGGTGTGGTTTCTTCTGCCTGTCTCTCTGTCTCTCTCTCTGGCAAGCCATGTGCCCTCTGGCAGTACAAAATAAATAAATAAAACAAATTACATGCAAGGTTGGACAACATAATGATTAGAAACAGAGCTAAAGGGAGGGAAGTAGAGATGAACAGGATAAAGGTCACTTCAGCAACAGAAATAAAAATGTGCTAGTTTAGGAAGGACAGTAAATAAATTATTATACCCCCCCCCCAAGACTTTTATAGTTCTATAGGCACCAACCCTTCTCTTGTGGGAACAACAGGAGCTCTGCTATTTTAGGTTGAGCTAGCTTCTTGGTCTCTTCAGATGAGTCTCAAGTCAATGGCCTCCCTTTTACACCTTCAGAGACCGTTATATGTAAAGAACTTGTCCAAGAGCACATGCAGGGGCAAGAGAAATCAAAGATGATTTGGAGGGTTCAAATCAGGAATATATAGGACCCGATAGGAGCCGATGGTGAGCTTGACACTTCACCAGGACCTGTGCTGTGGGTCGATGACCCAGCCATCTCTGAAGCCGGTGCCTTCCTTATTGTCCATTTCTCATTCCATGCAACTCTGTGCATAGGCAGAATCAAGGACTTAGTTGAGAGGGGCCCTTCATTCATATTTATCGGGCACCTACTCTGTGTCATGCACTGCTCTAGGTGGTGGTAAAGCAGTGAAAGAGCTGCACATGCGAAGATTGATAATGCTCCCGAGTAAACGGATTTGTTTCTTCTTTATGTGCTATAAAGGATAAAATAGGAGATGGGGTTAAGGATGGGGTCAGATTAGTTCTCAGAATATTCAATTAGAAGATGATAAAAAGACCTGGTAAAACAAGCTCTCCCTCACCTTTCCCTGGAGCCTGAGGAGAGGTAGTCAGTGGAGACCGGGACTCCAGAACCGTAGTGACCTTTGGAAACACGTTACCTCACTCCCAGTTGCAGCACAGACCTGCAGTTACTCCTCTGAGGGATTTTCAAGTCTTTCCTTTTTCTCTCTTATTATGGTAGCTGGTATTAACATGGGCAAACAAACAAGGTCAAATGGAGAAGAGAAAAAGAAACAGAAGAAAGAACTTTCATATTAGCTATTACTGTGGGCATCTCCGATGAACCAGTCAGTTTCCTGAGTGCCGGGCAGAATATTCACTTAGCGTGGATTCTGGGGTATACCGTGCATATATTTCAAGAACATTCTCCAGTTTGGACAGTAAACTTAGGAACTCCACCGTACCTAAGATAATAAAAATGACACGGAAACTCATGCCTATGAAGAGACCTGTTTATTACTGATAACATTTCATTTGACTGAAACCACAGGAAATCCACACGCACACAAATACATAAAGTGCAAATTCTCACAGGCAGGACTTATAACACACCCTGGTGTTTTCGTAGGGAAGGAGGAGATGTTGATGGAAACTGTTTAAACGAGGGCATCATTTTGGACTACTACTATACACTTAGTCAGAAAAATAATTCATTCTTCACTATATATACTTTATCTGGCATGTTTAACGATGTCCACCAAAAGTTTATTCTAGCCTGCAACAAGAAGGCCTCACCAGATAGGGACACAGACTCCTGCTTGAGTGGGTCTTGTAAGACACTGAATGAATCGAAACCCTGGACAAAAAGATACCAAATAGTAGCAAATTAGTTGGGGTACACTTGGAAGGAAGTGCCAGCAGGCTCAAGATGGCACTTAGACTCGTGAGACTAAGTCTACAGAGACACTGTTTCCGACACTTCCAAGCTAACACCTGCTTTGAGTGTAAAATACTAGGCGTTAGATACAATTTCCATGTAGAAATAGGCTCTGCTCTCTCTGCACAAACTGAGTGTTGAAGGCTATGCCTGCTTAATAAACATCACTTATTATAAATTTCACAGTAAGGGATGTCATTTAACAAGCTAAATTAGAAAATTTGACTGTATCTTAACTGTTTGCTCCTTAAAAAAAAAAAAATCCCACAATTCCTATTATCATCAGTTAAGTACTCTATATGAGGTTCTGAACTAGGTGGTGTGGACATGAAAAAATAAAATACTGTGATCCTTGCTCTCAGGGAGCTGATTCTCGGCGGTTCCTCCTTGGTGAAGGAATGCCCGGGAACGAAAGAACCACCTGGCCACCTCAGACTGTATCGTCAGCTTCAACAGGAACGCAGTTCTTTCGGGTCGCTTTTTTCATTTGGCATTAGAACTTTAGATGGTCAACTTCGAGAAGGCAGAGAATATTCTAGATGTGTTCTATGTTTTTATTTCTCACACTACAATCAGCGTGTGTACCCCAAGGGGATAGGCAGCAATTGGGGGGCAGGGGTAGGGGGCGTCAAGAGGCCATGTGATAAGCACAGTGCTCTTTTCTGGCAGCACCAGTTTCAGTGAAGACTAGAGATACCATTTTTATATTAAGACGGTTTTGTTATGGCAAATGCAAAACTGACTCGCGAGTTAAAGACAGGACATGCGATTTCGTGGCAGTGGTAGGCTGCTTCTGACTTTACTCTCAGACCCCCACCTCTCCTTCAGGGTCATGCTGGTGGACAAATCGGAGCAGCAGACTTTAGCTACGTCACTTTGCCCTGAAGTGGCCACCCTTGTCGTCCTTGTAGGTTCTCTTAAGTACAGTGCTTGGGTTAACAAAGAGGAAAGAAGGTCTAGGTGAACAACCAGCGTGGGCTCTTTGTTTCTAGCTGGAGCTAAGGTCACGCTGTGGAAAAAGTCAGACAATGAGGGGTTTGCTTCTTTCTCTTTAGACTTCTCTGGTTTATGGTAAGATGCTTTGAGGGACAAATGGGAAAACGATTTCCTCAGATTTGTGCTGGGCTGCCCAAAGTACAAGGAACCTGACATTAAACCCATGAACCACTCATGTTGGTGAGTCTGACTCTTGCCTCATCAGTTTTTAGGACAATCTCAGACAACGTGTGAATTGTAAAAGGCCATAGTCAGTTAACATACAGTAGTGTCCAGACAGACCAAGATGATTATAAAATAGATTCTACATTACTTGGTACAGTAAGTCTTAGTCTGACAATAACAAAATAACCAAACATCCATAGACAAACATAGTTTATGAATACGTTTAAAGCATTCTGAATGAATACAAGTTAAAGGTTTCTTATCAATGAGGTAATAGGGCAATAGCTTTTCACAGTAACAAAATGTGGAAGGGTGCGTAGCAACAGAGGGAGGTAGAGAGAAAAAGGCAGACAATTTAATTTATCCAAGTCAAATTTGGATTTTTCAAGCATTACAAATATCAATGGAAAATATCTGAAACAAATACCAATAGCAGCAGTTCACAGAACAGTTTCTTTGTCAAACTCCAGCTAATCTCCCATTGAATCAATCCCAGAAGCAACCTGCTTAAAAAAATGGTAGGTCTACTTCCCACATAAAGATATTCCAACTTGTCCAACCTCTCACAACTTCTCCAACTGCTGAAGTTACTAACGCCAAATAACAATCCTTCATGTCTAAAACAACAGCCTCGACTATCCTACACAACTATACATTCTTCAAGACGGACAAAATTGTGTTCAAGTCTCACTTAATTTGCCAGGTTACATTAAAAAGGAAGCGGGTCTTTATTCATACATCCATCTACTACTCAAAATATACAAAAATTATCTTGAGCTACATTCTTTTACATATGGAGTGAAACCTAAGCATTGCTTTCAGTGCTCTTTACATCATTTCTATTCCAACCCATTTTGGAAAAAAAAATGTGTAGGAAGACACCTTTAAAAAGCCATTTAGTGGGGCCAGCAGGTGGTATGTTGATTATGGCGCTAGACTGCCACATGGCTGATAGTAGTTCGGGTCCCAGACCCAAAGGCTGACAACAGTTCAAGTTCCAGACCCAGCAGCTTGAAATTCATGCTAGGAGCATGTGCATGCCTGCCCAAAATGCCAGCAGGAGAGTAAAGAAGAGGATGCAGCATGGCCATCCCCGGGGGTGGGGGTAGGGGTGGGGGTGGGGGTGATTTCTCACTTTCCCTATCACTGTTTCTCTCTCTGTCTTCCCCTGGCAAGTGTATGTGCCCTGTGGCAAAAACCTAAAAAAAGATTTATTAAATCCCTTAAAAATTAACATTTTTATCCCCTTAAAAATTAAAAAAAAAAAAAACCTTGCAAACAGAAGACTTTATAATGATTCCTACCCCAGAAGTTCTTATCTCTTCATCTAAAACTTCTATGCTGCCCCCTCCCTTTTTCTCAAACCCCTCTTATTCTGTCTTCACTAGAGGTGGAGATCAGTTTGTCCTTGTATTTCTGACTCTGAGTCCTTCAATAAAAGCCTCAATTAAGAGCCCAAGATTTTTATAAAATGATCTCAATAGCTTTCTCTTCTCCAGAGTTAAATGATCTTTACTCCTTGCACTTTTTCTCAGAGGTCCTATTTTTCCACTCTACAGTTTATTCCTTTTTATTTCGGCTCAGTCGCCTCCTGAGTTCTCACATGATCTGACACAACAGAAAAGTGTGTGGTGTGTACACCTGGCAGAAGGTGAACTGAGAGAAGGGTACTTTTTCTCAGCTTCTAAAACTTGGCCTCTTTTTAGTGATGGCAATAAGGAAAACAGTCAGTTCATTGTCTGCTCATGAGAATAACAGATAAACACGAGTAAACAACTTGTACACGGTTTATTCCCTACTTTTATGGTGTTAAATTTTCCCTTCTAAGCAGCTTCTCCTGTGTTGTTACTGACTTCCATATTGTTTATTTCTACTGCTCATTTCCAATATATGCTTTGATCTTGTCCTACTCTATCCTTTTCCCACAGACTCTAGAAAACCCTCGTTTAGATTTACAGCTCAATGAGAACGCATTCATTTTCACCACACTGTTTGGAAAGGAAAAGATCCACGACACACTTCTCTCCCTCCTGGCTGGCTTGGGCTGTCACCGGGTTTTCCTGTTACGCAAATATGAACCCACTATGTCAAGTTCATGCTTAAATATCATGCTCAGATGAACTCTAAAGTGTGGCTAGAATCAAATAATTCCCTCAATCAATACCCTTTGGGAACATCTGCGGAATTGTGTTAATTTTAACTTTGAACTTCTTAATTTTTGAGATAAGAATCCAGGCTTCAATAGCTTATCGCCTTGATTGAAGTAACTTAAATGCTGCATTGCATTAAAACACTCAACTAAAGCTATTCTCTTCGAGCTTTAGTGATTATGAATGGGCTGTCTTATCATTTTTACTTCATTTTGTTCTGCAGTCACTGAAACACAGGTACGGAAACCAAATATACATCTTTTATCATATATATATAACATTGTTGATACCACTCTGTAGAATATATGCCATATCTTAAATTACAACCTATATTCCTAAAAGCAAAGAAAAAAATGTGTTACACTTTTTAAATGGAAAAAAAAAAATCTACACGTTTCGTCTCCAGTGCAAAGCTTTGCAAACAAACTCATCCAGGAAAATGTACTCTACATTTAGCTAGCTGTCTATAATCTACAGTCAGAGAAGATCCAGGTGGAAGATAAGGAAGGAACGAATGAACAATAGTGGCAATATGACAATTTGAAAATGATGTTTGGATTGCATGAGCTCAATCGAATGTTGGCTGATAGCTGCAACAAACCAAACCATGACTTGATGAACGTTCTGAACAGCTTAGATTTTCTATTATTACTCTAATACTGGTGCTAGCTCTTGTAGGCAATGTGTTTAGTATGAATACACCAGGCCTTGTTACTATTACCTCCTAATGAATAGACCCCAGGGGTCTTCTGTGAGCAAGACAGGAGCAGTACACTTTAAGAAGGTTCAACAGTATTTCTCTGTTACGTCTTTTCAGAAGAATCCACCAAAATGACTTTCTTAGGAACACTATTTTCTATATTAAAAAAAAGATAAACAGTACTAGTGTTCAGAAATGCTATAGGAGCCAGTGATGTTAGAATGATCTGGACTTTATAGTTCTCAGTGTTTCATAATTCTTAAAATCTGAATGTTTTATTCCTTAGCGACATTATCATTACTTCGTCAGATAAAGGAATAAAGCTACTTAGCAAAAATTCAAAAGTTAAGACTTCAGAGCTCCTTTCTGCACAGCTCTGATTTTTTTCCCTTTATTTAAAGGTTATGATAACTGACCATTTTAACATGAAGATCTCAAGCTATAGTTAACATTAGGCCTGCTTTTTATCAAGATCTTTATTTACATTCACACGGTTTTAACATCAGCAAACCCACTGATATTGAGGAAGCACCTACAGAATTTGGATGGAAGATTTTCCACAACTCTCTGAAAAATAACCGATTAAACTATATTCAAAGCAGGGACACTGTTTCAGTTCACACCGGACCCTGAGACGGCACTGAGAAACTAGACAAGAATGAAGCCCCTAGGAGTGTTTGCCACTATTGTTTATGTTCAGTAAACAGCAGAATTTGAATACATACAGCAAATTTACACTGCACCAAGGGCACCCGAGACAGAGGTGCTGCAATCACACGTTGTAACATCTGTTCTAAACTAGAAACACTGAACTCCCTAGTTCAAATACTCTTAAGTTGCACATTAACACCTGCAATGTAACGACGACACTTTCCCACAGAGATCTAAGTGCAGAATCATTTTCTAGTCGATTTTATGGATTTAATCTCCTTAACTAACCCTATGATGATACGACATTTATCTGTCTTTATTTTTTTAACCATGCTTTACACAATTACAAGATACAGAACTAAGCTTAATCACTCTTTAATAAGAACAATCATGTTTGTATTATGTTTCTGCTAAAGAACAACGTGTTACTATAATACTTTTAATGTAATGACTTCTGTTCAAGATTATGAAAACATTTCATTTTCCTCTAGACCATTTCATCCCAAACATATAGTTTGTTCAACCAGATGACTGAAAAGAAAGAAAATAGAAGGAAAAAGATACTCTTCCAGACAGGATAGAGGGAGAACGTGAACACGAGGCTCAACACATGGAGCTCCTGGCTGCTCTGCTCCATGTGCCAGCGCAAACTCAGGACGTACGGTGGCCCCTAAGCAGAACGCCAGGTCAGTCCATTCTTACTGGGCTCGAGGAAATTCTCAATCAGAGCTTCAATGAGTTTCTGCAGTTGTTCTTCCAGTAAGGAAATGTTGCTGAGGAAAAAAGATGTAAGAGTTGGGAAATCCTTTATTTTAGTCGCCTTATCCTTTATTTTAATTGCAGGCTGAATGGTCGGTGCAGTGGCAAAATGCTGCACTCTGCAAGGCCGACTGATGTGGGAAGGTTCCAGGTTTGTGTCTGGAGACTTCTGAGACCTCCCTGAGTACGCGGGGCATGGACATGTGCCAGGATCTGGGGCTGACTGAGGAAGGGTGTCCATCACAGAGCCAAGATCCTGTTGGTGGTGCTGCCTCTCTCTCATGAAGAAAGAAACTTAAAATACAAAATAAAACAAAAATGTGGTAGGGCCAGCAGGCGGTGTGGTGATTAAGGTGCTGGATTTCCACATGGCTGACCTTAGTTCAAATCCTGGACCTAGCGGCTTGCTTTCTCACTTTCCCTTTCTCTCTCTCTCCGGTCAAATTAAAGAATAATAATAACAAATAAAATAAATAAATAAATAAATAATTCTTTAAAAACAAAACAAAAACAAAAATGTGGCATATCCATACTATGGAATATTAGGTAAAATTTTTTTTTAAAAAGTACTAAAGCACTGATTCAAACCACAACATAGATTAACCTAGGACACTTTACGCTAAGAAGCCAGTCATAAAGGTCCACATACTGTAGCATGCATATAAAATGTCCAGAATAAACAAATCTACACAAAAACACAGCAAACTGGTGGATGCCTAGGGCTCTGAGGGAGGGAAATGGGGAGTGATTTTTATCAGTCGGAGGCTTCTGGGGGAAGGAGTGATGAAAATGTTCTATAGATAAAGCATATCACAGTGATTGTTGCTTAAATTTGTGAATGTATTAAAAACCACTAACTTGTATGCTTTAAATGGGCCAACCATATACAGTGAAAATTATATCTCAATAAAGCAAAAAAAAAAAAAAAAGTCAACTCTCACCTCTGGTCGGGTGACGCACACATCTCTGCGTAATACTTTATCTTTGGTTCTGTCCCACTCGTCCGAAGAGTAGCAACACAGCCATTTTGAAAAGTAAACGTAATCATCTGACTGTTTTTACTCACAGGCAAGACCTATGCAAAATTGGAACAGCAGCTTAGTTACACTTAATATATTTTTATTTCTAAGAATTATAAAATACATTCCACTTACACGTGGTAGCTACGTAGTCAAATTCATAGAAGCATAAAGTAGGCACCCCGGGTGGTTGCCAGGAGCTCAGAAGACGGGGATGGGAAATTGTCTAATGAGTACAGAATTTCGGTTTAGCAAGATGAAATAGTTCTAGAGATCTATTGCACAACGATATGAATCCACTTAACACTGCTGAACTGTACACCTAGAAATAGTTAAGATGGTAACGTTTATGCTATGTGTTCTTTTACTATAATTTAAGCATTTAAAAATATTTTAAAAGAATTATAAAATGTCAAAGACTATCAACATAATAATTGATAAATATACCCTTTATTGAACCCTTATAATAGTCCAGGCATCGGGTGATCCACCTTACATACATGATCTCTGGGTTCAATAATTATCCTGCAGAGTAAACATTATTGCCATTTTATGGATGAGGCTCAAAGACTGTCAACGACCTGTTCAAGGTAATCACCTAAGTGACAGAACAAGAAGTGGAAGCCAGGTCTGTCTGCTCCAGAGTCAAAATTGCCTCTATATTTGCAAAGCACTTTCATAGTTTACTGATGTTCTCTGAAGAGGAGAGAGCATCTACTCTAGAGGATGTGCAAAATAATGCGCAGGGGTGCAACATAACTATTTATATGTTTTATACACACTAAAAACAGAAAAGAGCTTTGCTGGCATTGAGCAGCTGGATTAACACTCGTACTCTTCCTAGTCCACACGTGAGTCTGTCACAGCATCTTGAGGGGACTGTGAGGGTTATACTATGACAGTCAGCAGTGGTACCTTCACTCAGGGGTCTTGAGTTCTAGTCCTGTCCTTGAGACCCTTGTCTAGGTCAGTTTACTATCAAACACCATTGGCTTAATTCAGAGACCCTTCCCTTTTCACCTGCAGACTATCAACCAGCAAGTCCTGACTATTCTAGACTTTATTTAACTCAACTCTGCTTGCTTCTCTCCACTTCTACTGCTACTATCTTAAATTCAGGCTGCTATCATCTTTCACCTAGACTGCTGAGACAGCTTACAGACTGACCTTCCTGCCTGGAAGTTTGTTCCTCTTAACCCCGTCACCATACAGGCCTTTCTTCCTCTTACCTCACATGCCAGTGCAGGAACCACTTGGCTCTCTAAAGAACATTTCTTCTTACCACAAGACCTTGAACTCCCATTCCCTTTGTCTGAAACACCCTCTATCCCTCCTGGGTATAGGTGTGTACCAATCATACCTTTTTCTTTCCTAAATTGCTTTATAGATTCATTTCGTCCTAATCAGACTTGAGAACTCAGCTGAGAGGGCGGCACACCCAGAGGGGGCGTGGGAGCTCCCTGCCCCACCCTAACCACAGCACCTTGCCCCTGTGCGTCTCTTCCACTTCGCTAATTCTAAATTATGGCCTTTATAACCAAGCAGTGAAAAAGGAAACTAGATGGAGTCTCCTGTGAAACATGTCCTACCTCTGGGCTTTTGGGTGACGTAGGTCATTAAATTTTCTCATTTGGAAAAAAATAAAATAAAAGGAACTTACTGACTTCTCATTGGGCTGGCTGCTGTCATACCCAGTGGTAATGTCTCGTACATGTAATATAGCAAATGCCCCACAAGATTTGGGGTACTCATTTGGAGAATCAAAATTGCGAAGCCTTTCAAAGATACGTTTGATGGTAGGTGGATCATAACATAAGAAATACGAAGTTCTTGAAATATGATGCCCATATCTGTGTAAAATGTAAAGTGCTAAAATCAGATTTCAGATAACTCTTTAGAAAAGTACATATTAAAGATAAGCCTATTACAGTAGTTTAGAGAAAGTTTTGAACTCAGACAATTTTAATACTTTTTTTTTAAAAAAAAAAGGACTGATTATTCCTCAAAAACAAATTTAGACAGTTAAGGGTAGGAGGAAAACAAGGAGCCGGAAGGCAGGCAGGCAGGAACGAAGGCAGGGAGGGTGGCTGGCTGTGACATTCACAGAACTTACTTCTCATAAACCCTGGCTAGCTGCTGTTCCAGGGTCACGTCCATGGTTTCCAGGTAGGATGCCATCTCGGCCACCACCACGGCCGCACTCACCCCATCTTTATCCAGAACTGAGGTCCCGCACAGAAAGCCTGAGGATTAACACATATCTTCAGAAAAGATGAAAACGAATCCTGTCATTTCAATAGTTTTATTTCTCCAGAAGGAACAGTTCATTTAAAAGCCGAGTAAGAGAAAACTCATCTATATGGATCCCATGTGAAGAGGATCATTGGGCTCTTTTTCTTTTTTTCTGATAAGAAATGCATCTATACATTTCAGAATTTTCTAGTTTTTACAATTCAAAACACAAAACCAGAGGACAAAAATTCCTCTGTACAGAATTAACACATTCAAAAATGTGCTCAATTAAATTTCAAAGATTTTAGTGTTTACTACATACCAATAGACTCTTCAAATGCAAAAAGGACTTCTTTCCCATTTTCCAGGAGGTGTTTTATCCTACTTCCAATCCATTTAAAACCTGGTAGTGTTTCCTGCAATGCAGAGAAGGATACTCTAGTTAAGTGACATTCTCATACATACGTATTAGAGAAAAGCCTGTCACTAAATGCATATGATACTCAATAGTGATCTTCTTTGGTCTTTGGCCCACAGTGATTTATATGGTGGTAGATGTTATAGTCAGTCAAGGGCCATGAACATACACACTGCCACTACTGATGACATACTACCTGTAGTGCACAGTGATAGGTGACTTACATCAGATACAACCCAATATTTATACGTGGTGACGCACACAGTCATAAAGTAACACAACACATTATGATCTACTTTTCACTAAGTACTGTGATAGCTCCCTTGTATCATCTTTTAAAAAAAGTTTATTTACTTGTTTCTTCCATAAGCAACAGAGAGAGAGGAAGAAAAAGAGAGCGCGAATACCCCTCACAGGGTCTAAAAGCCATGATCTACCCCCAGCCTTCAGTCAGCTCTAGATCATGGGCAAGCGTGTGCCTGGTGTGCTCAGGGAGGTCTCTGAGTATGAACCGAGAACCTTCTCTTACAAGATTGCCTTGCAGAGTATTGCATTTTACTGCTGTGCCACTATCTGGTCCTACATCATGATCTTAAAAATACTTGCTGATTCAGAGGCTCATAGATTAAGTAAATTTGCCCAAGATTATCCTTTACATAAGAGATGATTACACTGCTTCTCAGAAACTGGTCTTTTTCTTTTTCTTTCTTTTTTTTTTTTTTTTGTTTAAGAGGTTTTTGCCTTAGCATGCAGGTGGTTGCTGGAAAGAGAAAGAGACAGACACAGTGAGAAGGAAAATGAGAAATCACCTCTGAGGGGGGATGGCCACATTGTAATCCCTCCTCCTTTACTGTCCTCCCAGGATCTTGGGAATGCATTCACATGCGCCAAGGTGATATTCAAAGCACTGGGTCTAAGACCCAAACTGCAGTCGGCCATGTAGGAAAAGCGATGTAACCACTAGGACATCTGCTGGCCCCAGAAACTGGTCTTTAAGGTGTATTTGAGCCACTAATACAGCAGTGCCTATGAGGATTGTATTTTAGTCTCTCTGAGCAATCGAAGGCTATGAAATTTATTAGTGATGCACTCTCAACATTATCACAGATGCGTGAAACAAGTGCACTTTTCCATAACTTTGTGGCCTAAATAAAACCACCAAGACAGTCACTAAGTTCTTTAGATCTGAGGATTTTTTCATGTGATGAACAACTGCTCACTTTAAAAGAAATGACCCTTTTAAGGTCATCAGAAAGAGCATGTGACACGCATTAATTCTAGAGCTCACTAACTTTTGTGTCCTTGTTCACCTCTATATCTTCACCAACCAACCAAATAAACATACAAAAAGCTATCCCCCCCACAACACAAAACCAAGCAAATTTGTAACATTGATCTTTAGAATCATGTTCTTTTTTCCTTTATGTTCATTATGTTTTACTTGCCCTAGATACAAATAACGAAACCATTAATGTTACTGTAATTCAGATCTTAGGTTTGAATTAACTTTTTTTTTGGAGGGGGGGGAAAGGTTTTTGCTATAGGGTGCGTGCACTCGCCAGAGAGACAGACAGAAAGCGAGAAATCACCCCCAAGGAGGGTTGGCCACGCCGCAATCCTTTCTCCTCCATTCTCCTCTCAGGATCTTGGGCACGCACGCACCCGTGCCTGGCGTGAGTTTAAGCCACCGGGTCTAGGACTCGAAGCCATCAACTACATGGGAGGCCAACGACATAGCCATTACGCTTACTGCTGGTCCCAGGCTTGAATTAACTTTTGATATTTTTCATTTTGCTTTTTATGTCTTAGAAAGTCTCAGACTAAAAGTTCGATTTCATCAAGACAGGTACAATTTTCTTCCCTTTAGCTAATTAGTGTCAAGACCTGAGACTTGACTATAACTCAAGAAAAATGCCCAGTGGTGACATTTTCACTGATAATTGGGAAAGACTGCAGAGCAGAAGCAACTGAACTCCCATTAGTCTCTGGCTGCAAAACTGGTTGGCTAAACTGCTCAAGTTTCATGGAGGTTAATGAACTAGGCTGAGTGAGCCACTAGTTTTTTGGATTATTCAATAGTATTACTGGGTCTTAATTTACAACTTAGAAGACTATTTAAGGTTTCATAATAGTGTGCTTGAAAAGTCTAAATAAGGGGTTGATGATACCTATACTTCCTTGGAATAGTCTATACTACTGTTGAGGTCACTGAGAGACAGAAAACCAGATATTATCACATGGGGTAAGTGCTAAAGTAAGTTTTAGAGAATATCTCAGTTTCAACCTAGAAATTATATACTAGGTGAATTTGGCTCAAGGTTTCTAAATCTATCAAAAAGATTAAGCAATTATGAACAGAATTAGATAAAACAGGAGAATTATTTATTATTTATTTATTTTGAGAGGTTTTGCTATAGGGCCTGTGCACTTGCCAGAAAGACAGAGAGAGACAGAGAGACAGAAAGAGAAAAATCGCCCCCGGGGGGGGTGGCCAGGCCGCAATCCCTTCTCCTCCATTCTCCTCTGGAGATCTTGGGCATGCACGCACACGCACCCGGCGTGAGTTTAAGCCACCAGGTCCAGGATTCTAACCATGGTCGACTACATGAGAGTCCAGCAACATAGCCACTACGCCAACTGCTGGTCCCAAAACAGGAGAATTATAAATGTGCTCAATGAAAGTCAGTTTTGGTGGGAGATGTCTTTAGTATATACGAATATGTTAAAAAGTAACAAATAGATATTATCTATTCTTACTTCAAAATGAAATCCTTCTTTAAGTGCAATTGCCTTCAAAATTTTGGAAGAGACTGTGGTGGCTAACATGTAAACATTCTTCACATCAGCATTTCTTGATTTAGTTTTCTTCCAGCAATCAAACATCCACCACCCAAGCAAAGCGGCCAACTCATTCCCTGTGAAAACTTTCCAATGGCCACTGTAGAGAAAATGAAAATTCAGTCATGACCTTTTAACTTCTGATTAAAACGTCTTACTTCTAGGACCTGCAAAATACCACTCTTGACATGGGAAAAACCAAAAATCATCAAATGGGATTTTTGAGAAAACATCTATTACAGATTGAATATCCCTTATCCAAACTGTTTAGGACCAGAAATGTTTGAAAAGATGTTGCAGGTTTTCAGATTCTGGAATACCCACAGACATGTAGTAAGATCTCTTGGGGATAGAACCCAAGTTTAAACATGAGATTTATTTATGTCTGATATACACCTGATACACACAGTCTGAAGGTAATCTTATGTAATATGTTGGCAATGCAATGTTTTTACCGTTACCCATCACATGAGGTAAGGTGTGAAATTTCCCACTTGTGGTATCATGTCAGCACTGGAAAAGCTCTGGATTTTAGAGGATTCTGGGTTTTCAGATCATGTATTACTTCTTTTCTAATTGATGCTAGGGTAGGGATTACCATATTGCTACTTTTATTCTATTTAATGAGAAAAAAAATGATAAACATTTAAGCCTGCCTATTTCAGGATATCCGTCTCATTATAATGGTGAAAAATATACAGCAACTCAGTGGAGCAAGATTAGGAAATGATAAAGTTATCTCTTAAAAATCAGTATTTTCAAATAATATATAAGGACAGGTGGAAATGCCCACAGTACAAGTGAAACAGAAAATAATGATGATGGTAAACTATATATAATAGAGCAAAATTTTATAACAATCATATTTTTAAATATTTGAATAGAAAAAAACATAGAAAAAAAATGTCAGAGCATCAGTTTGGGTGGCTAACCCCAGAGAGTGGGCTTACAGATTTTTTTCTTGTTTCTTCTATTATTTTCGATGAGCCTATTAGACATAAAATCAAAAATTCCTTTTCCAAGTTTAAACTTTTAATCATTACATGGACTCTACTTACTTCCTCTGAAGTTCTGCCACTGCCAGTCGGTCTGCATCAGGGTCTGTGGCGAGCACTACTCGGGCATTCTCTTTCTCTGCCAGTCTCAGAGAAAGTTCCTGAAATAGTGATCCAAAAAGCTGGACTATACTAAAGAACCTAAGTCATTGTTAATATTCCTAAATGCAGGACTATGTTAGTGATATGCCCTTTAAAATGTAAATAGGCCACATTTAAAATAAGATGCCTGGAAGTCAGGACTTTCCACTATAGATTTCAAACCAAACACCAATTATGCTTCCAATATACCTTAAAAGAACTAAACTAAGGATGGTTTCTGTTTTGTAAGTAATCTTCAAATTGTCAGACAGTTCTATCTATGCTAATGGCATTATAAATTACTAGTAATTTAAATATTAAATATATATATATATATATATATACCAGCACAGATTCTCCTTCTTCAGGATTTGGGCATTTAACAGTAGAAAAGTCTGGATCGGGATCTTTTTGTTCTGGTACTGGAATTGGAGGCTTAAAACCAAATACTTGAAAAGCCAACTGCACATAGTCATGTCCGACCCCGTGGAAGGATGTGTGCACGAATTTCAAGGTGGTCTTTGCATTTAATTCCCTGTAGAGGAAAATGATCATCTAATCAATATCATAAAAAACTTAACTGTGATTTATAACAAATTCTGAGAAAAAGTGTTAAAAGCCTTCAGCAGAGGTCTAATATATTTTCGAAAACCCCTAAATTATGTAATATTAATGTAAAGATCAAAAGAGTTTTAATTTAGCTGCATTCTCCCTTTGTGGTTCAACTTCCTGACCTGGATAGCTTCCTTTCATATGCTGCATCATTATTTGAAGTATCATTTCTTACTAGGACCTTGGCAAAACTTGCTAACTTGTCTTTTTCACTGTCTCTCAGATCCTCCTTCCTTCATTTCCTTTCCTGTCCGGCTTTGTTTACAAGGTACCCAATTTCTTCTTCTTCTCTTTTTTTCCTTTATTTATTTATTTATTTATTTTTGCCATAGCGCACATGCACTTGCAGAGAGACAGAGGGAAAGTGAAAAATCATCTCACATGGGGGATGGCCACATGGTAATCCCTTCTCCTCCAGTCTCCTCTTGGAATTTCGGACATGCATACACACACACTTGGTGTGGTTTTTCAAGCTGCCAGGTACAAGACTCGAGTCATGGTCAGCCATATGGGAATCCAGCACCTTAACCACCATGTCACCCGCTGGCCCCAAGATACCTGATTTTAATCACGTCTTACATGTCATTTTGGTTACGTTGACCCTCCACTACCCTAACTCTTGTTGAAATCAACTCCAGGCCTGCACCAGAATAGCTAACTACTATTGGAGTAAATGTCATCAAACAGCTGAACAGCTCTACCTAAGATGGATACTTAAAGCTGTCAGGCATAGGGCTGGCAGGTGGCTTGGTGGTTAAGGTTGCTGGACTCCCACATGGCCAACCTTGGTTTGAGTCCTTGACCTGGCCACTTGCTTGTTCACTTTCTCTCTCTCTGTTGCTCTCTGGTCCAATTAAAATAATAATAATAGTAAGTAAATAAATAACTAACATTAAATAAAACAATCCTTTAAAAAGAGAAAAAGCTGCCTGGCAATTCTACTTTGTTATCCAAAAAAATGGACTTTTTCACTCTCCAAGATCATGATGTAGTCACTATCTTCTCTCCTCTCATACTCTTTTCTTCCCCCTATACCTCATTCATCGCTGAGACACAGAAGCCATCTACTGAGAACTTCCTAATCCTACACCAAATCTGTAACCCCATGAACATCCATACACATCTTTTCCTTTTTTAGGCTGACAACAGAAAGGGAATCTTTTCCCTCCTCCCAGAGGTCAAATCCTCCATTTCCATTCTGGTCCACATCATCTCTCTTCAAGAACTTTAGTACGTTAGTCCCCCTTTCGCTCTTAACTATAACAAAATTAATAATAACTTAGCAATATTATGTAATACCCAATCTCAGTTTGGGATTTTTGGGCATGCATGCACACATACCTGGCTTGAGTTTTAATTAAATATATATATATATATATATATACCAGCACAGATTCTCCTTCTTCAGGATTTGGGCATTTAACAGTAGAAAAGTCTGGATCGGGATCTTTTTGTTCTGGTACTGGAATTGGAGGCTTAAAACCAAATACTTGAAAAGCCAACTGCACATAGTCATGTCCGACCCCGTGGAAGGATGTGTGCACGAATTTCAAGGTGGTCTTTGCATTTAATTCCCTGTAGAGGAAAATGATCATCTAATCAATATCATAAAAAACTTAACTGTGATTTATAACAAATTCTGAGAAAAAGTGTTAAAAGCCTTCAGCAGAGGTCTAATATATTTTCGAAAACCCCTAAATTATGTAATATTAACGTAAAGATCAAAAGAGTTTTAATTTAGCTGCATTCTCCCTTTGTGGTTCAACTTCCTGACCTGGATAGCTTCCTTTCATATGCTGCATCATTATTTGAAGTATCATTTCTTACTAGGACCTTGGCAAAACTTGCTAACTTGTCTTTTTCACTGTCTCTCAGATCCTCCTTCCTTCATTTCCTTTCCTGTCCGGCTTTGTTTACAAGGTACCCAATTTCTTCTTCTTCTCTTTTTTTCCTTTATTTATTTATTTATTTATTTTTGCCATAGCGCACATGCACTTGCAGAGAGACAGAGGGAAAGTGAAAAATCATCTCACATGGGGGATGGCCACATGGTAATCCCTTCTCCTCCAGTCTCCTCTTGGAATTTCGGACATGCATACACACACACTTGGTGTGTTTTTTCAAGCTGCCAGGTACAAGACTCGAGTCATGGTCAGCCATATGGGAATCCAGCACCTTAACCACCATGTCACCCGCTGGCCCCAAGATACCTGATTTTAATCACGTCTTACATGTCATTTTGGTTACGTTGACCCTCCACTACCCTAACTCTTGTTGAAATCAACTCCAGGCCTGCACCAGAATAGCTAACTACTATTGGAGTAAATGTCATCAAACAGCTGAACAGCTCTACCTAAGATGGATACTTAAAGCTGTCAGGCATAGGGCTGGCAGGTGGCTTGGTGGTTAAGGTTGCTGGACTCCCACATGGCCAACCTTGGTTTGAGTCCTTGACCTGGCCACTTGCTTGTTCACTTTCTCTCTCTCTGTTGCTCTCTGGTCCAATTAAAATAATAATAATAGTAAGTAAATAAATAACTAACATTAAATAAAACAATCCTTTAAAAAGAGAAAAAGCTGCCTGGCAATTCTACTTTGTTATCCAAAAAAATGGACTTTTTCACTCTCCAAGATCATGATGTAGTCACTATCTTCTCTCCTCTCATACTCTTTTCTTCCCCCTATACCTCATTCATCGCTGAGACACAGAAGCCATCTACTGAGAACTTCCTAATCCTACACCAAATCTGTAACCCCATGAACATCCATACACATCTTTTCCTTTTTTAGGCTGACAACAGAAAGGGAATCTTTTCCCTCCTCCCAGAGGTCAAATCCTCCATTTCCATTCTGGTCCACATCATCTCTCTTCAAGAACTTTAGTACGTTAGTCCCCCTTTCGCTCTTAACTATAACAAAATTAATAATAACTTAGCAATATTATGTAATACCCAATCTCAGTTTGGGATTTTTGGGCATGCATGCACACATACCTGGCTTGAGTTTTAGGCTGCCAAGTCCAGGACTTGAACCATGGTCAACTACTTGCAGGTCCAGCGACATAACCATTAAGCTATTTGCTGGTCCCCAGTTTTTTGTTTTGTTTTGTTTTGTTTTGTTTTTTAATAAAGACATTCCAGGGACCAGCAATTGGCATAATGGCTATGTCGCTGGACTCTCATGTAGTCGATCATGATTCGAGTACTCGGTGGCTTAAACTCACACCAGGCATGTGTGTGTGTGTGTGTCCAAGATCCTGAGAGGAGAATGGAGGAGAAGGGATTGTGACGTGGCCATCCCTCCTGGGGGGGGGGGTGATTTCTCGCTTTCTGTCTCTCTCTTTCTGTCTTTCTGGTGAGCGTGCATGCCCTATAGCAAAAATCTCTCCAAAAAAATAAAAAAGACATTCCAGGCTTGTTTAGTACATTTTCTGCCCAAGTCAGTGGAATCAATTTCTCTAAGGAAATTAGAGAATTAGAAATTCCTATTTTTGGGAGAGAGAATTTTGCTATAGGGCATGTGCACTTGCCAGAGAGAGACAGAGAGAGATAGACAAAAAGTGAGGCATCATCCCCAAGAGGGGGGATGGCCATGGTACACTCCCTTTTCCTCCATTCTCCTCTTGGGATTTTGGGCATACACATACACATGCCTGGCATTCGTTTCAGGATTCCTCGCATGTGTTTCTGGTATTCAAACCATAGTTGACCATGTGGGAGTCCAGTGACGTAACCATTACACTATGCCATCTGCAGGTCCCAATTTTGGTTCCTTTTAATGGGTAATGGTATTTAGATTGTAATCTGGGTTATGTGTGTGGGAGTACTTGTAGGCCTTTTCAGTAACAGAACTAGTATTTTAGAAAGAAGCAAATGAATAATAAGTTTATAGTAAAATTTCATATTCAAATTTTAAATTATAATTAAAAAATTATTTGGATTTTACATTGGAATCTCATTTTAAAATCTCAGTTCCCCATGACATTAACATAATTACCTATTTGCTTTATGATATATGTATATGTGTACATATCTATATCTGTATCTGTAAAACTATCAGCATTTCTATGAACAGTTGAGCTACTAAATAGTTTTATCTTTTTTTGTGGTTCTTTATCCTTATACATATAGTCAAATTCCAGTATTTTAAAGTCACAATAAATAATAATAATTCTCTGTGCATTTATACCTTCAGTTTGATATGTAGTTAAGATCGTTTTGCTAATTTTTTTTGCTTATATTCGCTTTAGAAAACATAAATGTGGGACCAGCAGTTAATGTAATGGCTATGTCACTGAACTGCCATGTAGTTGACCACGGCTCAAGTCCTGGACCTGGTGGCTTAAACTCACACCAGGCTTGTGTGCATGTGTGCCCAAGATCCCAAGAGGAGAATAGAGGAGAAGGGATTGTGGTGTGGCCATCCCCCCTGGGGGGTGATTTCTCGCTTTCTGTCTCTCTGTCTGGCAAGCGCATGCGCCCTATAGCAAAAACCTCTAACAAAAAGAAAACATAAATGTAAATGAGCAAAGACAGAAGAGATAACAAAAGGACCAAGTTCTTTTTAGACTGACTATGGGTAGCAGCGTTTAGCTAATATTATTGTTGACTTCTCATCTGGGAAGAAGAAGTGAGCCATTGATAGCTTGATAGTTACATCTTCTTTTAAATAAATGAGAAAAGGCTAAAATCTGTTATGAAGATAGGGAAAATATACTCAGCAAGCCCGGATTCTTTCTAGCAATAGTGTTAGCATTTATGGGATAGTTAGTGAAATAATTAAGAAAAAATCTCAAAAAGAAATTTCCCAATCTTACACAGAAGAATAACTATATTTAGCTATAATTTTAAAAACAGCTTTATTAAACTAAAATTCACATACCATACAATTCACCCACTTAAAGTATAAAATTTGATGCCTTTCACTATATTCATAGTTGTTCAACTGACCACCATTAATTTTAGAGCACTCTAATTACCCCTCAAAAGAAACTCTGTACCCATACTGCCATCACAAACCCTCCCATGCCTCCAAAGCACAAGAAACCACTAATCTACTTTCTATTTCTACCTCTACAGACATACCAGTTTTGGACATTCCATATAAAGGGGATCATACACCGTGTGGTTCTTTGTGACTGGCTTCTTTTACTTACCGTACTACTCAGTTTATCCACGGTCTAGCATGTACCAGTACTTCCTCTTTTTTCATTGCCGAGTAATATTTCATTGTATGACTACACCACACTTTATCTATCTGTTCATATGCTAATAAATGTCTGGCTATATGAGCAGTACTAATTAACTATAATTTTAATATCATGAATATACATCTCTTCTCCCCCACCCTTTTCTCTCCCTCATTGGTTAGCCTGATACTAAAGTAATACTATTGTACATTCCCACTTGCACACCTGTGAAAACAGATCTTTTTCAGATCTTCCATGTATCTCCTGCAAATGTCCTGCAGAGGATCTTTCTTCAGTGGGCTGGTGTCCACTAAATTATCATTCCAGGAACCATTCCAGGGTTCCACACATTCTTCTATACATTTCAGAATTTCTTTATCATGAGGAGATGTGATCTGGGCACCAGTTTCCCAGTAAACCTAGATGATAAGTAAATACAGCTATAATTACGAGAAATGTTTGACAATTTTTTTAAAGTTTATTCACCCCTTTTTTTTCTATCAGGGAGGAGATGGGGTGGGGTGAGAGAGAGAAAGGCACCCTGATAATGTCTTCACAGCATGGTCCACCCTCGCTCTCAGCTGCCCTGGATCACAGGATGTGGCTGGCGTGCTCAGGGAGAACCATGGGATACAAACCAGGACTTTTCCCATGTGGGTTCAACGGTGAACTACTACTTGGCCCTCATCAGATTTTTTCTTAGCTACAGTAGAGACCTTCGACTTTATGAAAAAAATGTATCAAATTAATCATGTAGAAAATGCCAACCAGGACTAATTTAATGAGTACCAAATGATATTGATGGTAACAATTCTGCAGCAATTCTTCAATAAAATGATCAAGTATTATTTCTCCTTTTAGAAGTATACTTTATTTATTTGAGAGGTTTTTGCTATAGGGCATATGTGCTCACCAGAAAGACAAAGAGAGAAAGAGAAACAGAAAGCGAGAAATCACCCCCTGGGGGGGATGGCCATGCCACAATACCTTCTCCTCCATTCTCCTCTTGGGATCTTGGGCATGCACGCACACGCACCCGGCATGAGTTTAAGTCACCGGGTCCGGGACTCGAACTGCGAACAGCTACATGGGAGTCCAGCAATGTAGCCATTACACCATCTGCTGGTCCCTAGAAGTATAATTTTAATGGAGCCGGCAGGTGGCGTGCTGGTTGGGATGCTGGACTCCCACGTGGCCAACTGTGATTTGAGTCCTAAACCTGGTGGCTTGCTTTTGCACTTTCTCTCTCTTGCTCTTTCTCTCTCTGGTATATATGCATATTCTGTAGCAGATTAAAGTAATTAATAATAGTAATAATAATAATAAAGGTAAATAAATAATTCTTTTTATTTAAAAAAAAAAAGAAGTATATTTTAATGGACTAGCAGGTGGTGTGGTAGTTAAGACAACTGGATTCCATATGCTGATGGTGTGGTTTGAGTCCAGACCCATGGACTTGAAAAACACTCTTGGGTGCATGAGCATGTGCTCCCAAAATCCCAAGAGGAGAATAGAGAAGGGATTGTGGCTTGGCCACCCCCCAGGGGGTGCTTTTTCACTTTCTCGTTCTCCTCCTCCTACCACCAGTAAGTACACATCCTACACAAATTAAAATAAATAAATAAATAAATAAATAAATAAATAAAATTGCCAACTCTCAAGAAAAAAAGAAATATACTTTAATCTGAAACGAGTAAAATATAAGTAAAGCATCATTATGGTAATGTTATAGTGTACACATAGTGGCCCATTACTCTTATACCTATAACTACATACTAAAGATAACCTAAGAAACTATGGAATATCTCATATAACTTGATATTACTTAAATTAGCATTATAAGGCAGTTCTGTTATGTGATACAGAAATGATTTTTTGTTATAAAGTATAATTATGTCAAACCAGAAGAGGTCCCTATCAGAACGAACAATTAACAATTGTTCATTGTTAATTAACAATTAAATAATTAATAGTAAATAGTAAGTAGAAACAGTTCCAAAAAGGCAAGAAAATGTATTCCTAATAATTCAAAGTTACTAGAAACTCTGCTTAGAGAACATCTATGCTAACTTCTACCATTTACATGGCATGATCTTCTTTACTACAAGCTGAATGAAGAAAAGAATACACTTCTATATGTTCTATGCACTAGGCTCTGTGATAAGTAACATGGTAAACCAGATGGCCAAAAAGTTCTCATTCTATAAGGATATCAAAATGCTAGATAAAATAGAAAAGAAAATGAAAAACATATAGCTTAGTTCACAAGAGAAAACTCCAGGCAGTGGGGAAATAAATAAAATACTAATACAACGACTGGGTTATGAAAAAAGATCAGTGGTTATTAGGGGTTGTGGGAGAGAGGAATGAACAGGCAGAGCACAATTTTTAGGACAGTGAAAATACTTTGTATGCTATTGTAACAGTAGACAGTGTCATAATACATTGGTCCTAACCCACAGAATATAAAATACCAGGAGTAAACTCACATGTAATAAGCTCTATGAAGAAAATAAACAAAACAATGAAGATTCGTTCAGAAAAAAACACATTAGATAAGGTGGCCAGGAAAAGTCTCTTCAAGGAAGCAACATTAGAATTCAGGAACCTGAAGGATGAAAACGAGCAAGTCGGCAAGATTGGGAAGAGCAATTCCAGCAGAAGACTAAACAATGGCAAAGGCTCAGAGGAGGGAAGGGAATGTATGTTGGAGGAACTGGAGGAACAGAAAGGAGCAGAAGCGTGACCTGAACATAGTGAGCACAAGACCTGGAGAAATGAGGAAGACACAGGATGGATTATGCAGATTGCTCTAAGTCCCAAGGTAAGGTGTGGGGTTGTATTTGAAGAATGAGAAGCCACTGAAGAACATGAAGCAGGAAAGTGGCATGTTTTACTTATTTATTTATTTATTTTAATGCATCATGACTTTTCTTTTTTCTTTTTTAAAGAATTACTTTATTTAATTTTATTTACTTAATTTAATTAGACCACAGCGGGACAGAGCAAGAGAAAGACAGAGAGAGAGAGAGAGAGAAAGTGAGAAAGTAAGCTGCCAGGTCCGGGGCTCGAACCACAGTCGGCCATGTGGGAGTCCAATGCCCTTAACCACCATCCCACCTGCTGGGCCCCTTACTTATGTTTTAAAAGATCAGCTGGCTACTTTGTGTAGAATGGACTGCAGGGGAGAACTATAGAAACAGGGAAGAGACCAGCTCGGATGCTGTGGTTCAGACCAAGGACAACAATTTAGAATGGTGATGGTGGAGGATTTAACACAGGTAAACGTCATCAGCATGTTTTCAATGTATAAAATCTGTAGAACCTGTTAGTAGATTAAATATTAGGGGAAGGGAGTAATTAAATGAATGATCTTTGGTTTTGTATGGTATGCAGTAATGTTACTTTACAGAGATGGGAAAATCAGGGGGGACCACTTTCAGGTGTGTCTGTGGCAGGCTGTGGGGGAATAAAGACGTCTGTCTGAGACATTAATTTTGAGATGTCTGTTAGACATCCCAATAGATATCACGCAGACAGCTGGGTATGGCATCTGATGCCCAGAAAGGAGATGTGGGTTCTTAGCTTTCTTTGACATTTGGCTTCTGGCTCCTTACAGCTCTTATCCCTCTCATTTTTATGATACCAATCTTTTCTGGTTCTTCTCTCTCCAGTTCCTCTTCTTCTCTTCCCTTACAGCTGATACTCCCTAGGTGTCCATTCTAGACCTCCTTTCTTTCTATCCTATACTGTTCCTGGGCGGCTCATTCAACTAAAAGACTTTCAAATACACATACATGTGCTAATACGTATGGTGACCCCAAACTATAACTTCAGCCCAGATTCCTCCCCTGAGCTACACATTTTTATATATCTATATAACTATGGATCTCAAACTGCCTATAAGACATTGCTACCTGGTTGACCTGCAAATACTTCAACATAGTGTATCCAAAACAGAATTAATCATGCTTCTTCCCTGTCGCTGTGAATGATACACCACTCACTTAGCTAGCCAGGGCCCAAATCTTAAATTAATATTAGATCTTCTTTTTCACAGTAAAAAAGAGCTCGGTGTGTTTTCCAACTCAAGAAGAAAAATAAATATAAAAACATGGATGTATCATCCAGAAGCCCCAAATACTGGCTCAACACTGTGCTGTGTTAGTTTCTGTAACATTTACCCCTGCAGAGCTACTTCTCACCTCTTCACTCTTTCTGCCACACAGGCAGAAACATCAAAGGATCCTCTGACCAATAGGGAGCCCAGGCACAAGGTCAAAGGGAGAGAAAAAAAGGTCAAGGTACTATTTCCTTGGCTCTCTTCTTTTAAACTCCCACCCATTCTCTAAGCTCTAAGTACAATATAACTTTATTTCTGAAATGGTAGAGAGGGTGAATTTGGAATGGGATGAAGAACTCAAGGGCAATTCAAAGTAAAAAGATCAATGAAGAGGGTCAGGTGGTGGTGTGGTAGTTTGGTGGCTGGATCTCACATGGTTGACTGCATGGTTCAAGTTTCAGATACAGTGGCTTGAAAAATACGCCAGGTGTGTGTGCGTGCATGCCCAAAATCATGACAGGACTGCAGTGCAATCACCCCCTGTGAGGGGGTGCTTTCTCTCTTTCTTTCTCCGATGAGCACCCGCCAGCCCAAAACAAACAAAAAACTAATGAGACTTCTGTAACTGGACATACTGAGTAGTAAGGGCATCAGCCATACCCCTTCTCTGAGGGCCAGTCTCAAGCAGGAAAGTGGCATGTTTTACTTATTTATTTATTTATTTTAATGCATCATGACTTTTCTTTTTTCTTTTTTAAAGAATTACTTTATTTAATTTTATTTACTTAATTTAATTAGACCACAGCGGGACAGAGCAAGAGAAAGACAGAGAGAGAGAGAGAGAGAAAGTGAGAAAGTAAGCTGCCAGGTCCGGGGCTCGAACCACAGTCGGCCATGTGGGAGTCCAATGCCCTTAACCACCATCCCACCTGCTGGGCCCCTTACTTATGTTTTAAAAGATCAGCTGGCTACTTTGTGTAGAATGGACTGCAGGGGAGAACTATAGAAACAGGGAAGAGACCAGCTCGGATGCTGTGGTTCAGACCAAGGACAACAATTTAGAATGGTGATGGTGGAGGATTTAACACAGGTAAACGTCATCAGCATGTTTTCAATGTATAAAATCTGTAGAACCTGTTAGTAGATTAAATATTAGGGGAAGGGAGTAATTAAATGAATGATCTTTGGTTTTGTATGGTATGCAGTAATGTTACTTTACAGAGATGGGAAAATCAGGGGGGACCACTTTCAGGTGTGTCTGTGGCAGGCTGTGGGGGAATAAAGACGTCTGTCTGAGACATTAATTTTGAGATGTCTGTTAGACATCCCAATAGATATCACGCAGACAGCTGGGTATGGCATCTGATGCCCAGAAAGGAGATGTGGGTTCTTAGCTTTCTTTGACATTTGGCTTCTGGCTCCTTACAGCTCTTATCCCTCTCATTTTTATGATACCAATCTTTTCTGGTTCTTCTCTCTCCAGTTCCTCTTCTTCTCTTCCCTTACAGCTGATACTCCCTAGGTGTCCATTCTAGACCTCCTTTCTTTCTATCCTATACTGTTCCTGGGCGGCTCATTCAACTAAAAGACTTTCAAATACACATACATGTGCTAATACGTATGGTGACCCCAAACTATAACTTCAGCCCAGATTCCTCCCCTGAGCTACACATTTTTATATATCTATATAACTATGGATCTCAAACTGCCTATAAGACATTGCTACCTGGTTGACCTGCAAATACTTCAACATAGTGTATCCAAAACAGAATTAATCATGCTTCTTCCCTGTCGCTGTGAATGATACACCACTCACTTAGCTAGCCAGGGCCCAAATCTTAAATTAATATTAGATCTTCTTTTTCACAGTAAAAAAGAGCTCGGTGTGTTTTCCAACTCAAGAAGAAAAATAAATATAAAAACATGGATGTATCATCCAGAAGCCCCAAATACTGGCTCAACACTGTGCTGTGTTAGTTTCTGTAACATTTACCCCTGCAGAGCTACTTCTCACCTCTTCACTCTTTCTGCCACACAGGCAGAAACATCAAAGGATCCTCTGACCAATAGGGAGCCCAGGCACAAGGTCAAAGGGAGAGAAAAAAAGGTCAAGGTACTATTTCCTTGGCTCTCTTCTTTTAAACTCCCACCCATTCTCTAAGCTCTAAGTACAATATAACTTTATTTCTGAAATGGTAGAGAGGGTGAATTTGGAATGGGATGAAGAACTCAAGGGCAATTCAAAGTAAAAAGATCAATGAAGAGGGTCAGGTGGTGGTGTGGTAGTTTGGTGGCTGGATCTCACATGGTTGACTGCATGGTTCAAGTTTCAGATACAGTGGCTTGAAAAATACGCCAGGTGTGTGTGCGTGCATGCCCAAAATCATGACAGGACTGCAGTGCAATCACCCCCTGTGAGGGGGTGCTTTCTCTCTTTCTTTCTCCGATGAGCACCCGCCAGCCCAAAACAAACAAAAAACTAATGAGACTTCTGTAACTGGACATACTGAGTAGTAAGGGCATCAGCCATACCCCTTCTCTGAGGGCCAGTCTCAATGTTATCTTTCTGTCTCCAAATTCTTGCTTCCCAGTGTAAAAGTATATTCAGCACATATTATTTGAATGAAAGAAGAAGTATAACACAAGCACATTTCAGAGTCCATGGTTTACCTTGTACCCGTTGTCTTCCTTGCGGTTGTGAGATGCAGTAATCATCACACCTGCAACTGCTTTGAGCTCCTTGACTGCGTATGGCTAAAGAGCAAAGTAACACAAAGCACCGTGAGTCCATTTTGCTTCACAGCTGCTCATACATTCGAGTATGAGAATAGTCAAAAGACAATGTTCATCTGAGAGTGACTTTGATTAGGTACCAGGAAGAGACATTTGGTATAAAGGACATAAAACCTCATCAACTCCAGTTTGATTGGGTGGTTCTGCTTCTAAAACATGGGGTTCAGTAACCAACTAACTGTTAAGATTAACTGGCTTTCCCCCCAAGACTCTCTTCACTTAGTTATATAAGCATTTCTTATTCTTCTGCTCTTCTAACAATATTTAATGAATACCTACTATATGCCAGATACTCCCCTAGATCCTGGAGATATGAACAGTGAATGCAAACCACTACCATTGGAAGTAAATTTAAAACCATTCAAGCCATCACATTTTACACCAAGGTTTATCCTATTATACAACCATTACGTAAAAGATTCAAAGGTGGGGCTGGCAGGTGGCATGGTAGTTAAGGGTGCTGGACTCCCACATGGCTGACTACAATTCGAGTTCTGAGTTAGGCAGCTTACTTTCTCCTCTCCCTTTCTCTCATTCTGTCCCTCTCTGATCAAATTAAAGTAAGTAAATAAATAAATAAATAAATTTAAATAAAATAATTATTTTTTAAAAAAGATTCAAAGCTAAAAACCTAGGTCTCTTGTCTTCTGGTGAGAAAATCTTTATGTATACACTCTGGTTTTATATCATGTAAGGGTCAACTCATCATCTTCTCTCTCAAAGTTTCTTTCCAGGTGAGATTTTGCTTGTTCTCTATAGTAGCTAATATTTTCTGCCTAGGATGTTTCCTCTGTTCCTTCTACCATCCTTCTAGAGAATCCTGCTTCTCTTTTCCTAACTATGGTGGGGTGGGCACTTGACTCATAGTAACCCATTTCCCTCGTATGGTTAGGAGACTGGTTCATAAACCAAGCCTGGTCAAGAGTCTTTCCCTCTCCAAAATACTGCTATAGCTAGTCAAAGAAGACTGACTTTGACTCAAAATTATAGTGACAGAGGTTGTGAATCTGGAATTGTTGCTACAAATATCTTCCTTCTCAGCTAGAGTCAACCAACCTCATTAAGAGAGTTAGGCCAACACACTGGGATCGATGGTTGTTGCAACTGGATGCCCAGTAGCAGAATCCTACAAAAACGGTCTAGGTTTCCGGATCCTCCCTGGTTTCTGTTCATTGTTAGAGTTAACTGTTTAGCAATTTCTTCAGTTATTTAAGTCACTCAAAATATTTCTGATAAATTACTAGAACACTTTAGAGACTTGTCTATAAAATCATCTAAATCTAGTATTTTTAATATGAGAAGATCTTTTTAAAAAATTGTCAATTACTTTAATGACTACAATTCTATTTAGGTTTTCTGTTTCTTAGCAGGTTTTTTTCTTAAGTTTATTCATTATTTCTTCTATATGAGAGAGACAGAGAGAAAGAGACAAACGGGCAGAGAGACAAAGATAGACAGAGATTGCCCTCCAACAGGGTCTTCACACGATAATCCATCCAAGCATTAACTAGCTAGGACCATGGGCCATGCATGTGTCCCTCCTGTGTACAGGGAGACCTTAGGACATAATCCCAGGATCCTCCCATGAGCCTCATCTCTGCTAGGGTAGCCTCTGCAGTTACCCTTTTACCAGTTTGGATTTATTAATTATTATGCCAGGATTCTGGCCAACTCATCTAAGCTTTCACATTTACTTTCATTACACTGTTCAGAAAACTGTGAAATCTATACTGTATTGATTATGCCCACTTTTAATTTTTTTCTTTGTGCCTCCTCTCTTTTTTCTTTAAACACTCCTTTCAGAGTTTTGTGCCTATTTTGAGCCTCTTCAGAGTTCTAACTTCTGCTTTCATTGATACTCTACTTTCTATTTACTTAACTTTTTTCTGCATAATTTAACTATTTCCTTCCTTTACTTTATTTGGATTTATTTTGTCTTAGCATGAACATACTAAGTTAAAGGCTTAGCTAATTATTTTTCATCTTTTTTTCCCCTATTTGTTTAGACTATAAATTTCTTTTTAAATAGTGCTTTTAGTTATATCCCATAATTTCTGCTATGTTCTCATTATCGCTCAATTTTAAATACACATAGTCTGGGGCCAACAGGTGGCACGGTGATTGAGGGAGCTGGACTCCCACATGGCCGACTACAGTTCAAGTCCCAGACCTGGTGGCTTGCTTTCTCACTTTCTCTCTCTCCCTCTCTTTCTCTCTCTCCCCCTTTCTGGTCAAATTAAAATAAATAGATAAATCAGTAAAGTTAAATAAAATATATTTAAAAATAAATAAATACATACACATAGTCCTTGCTTTACATGATTCCAATATCCACAAATTTCTGATACCATGATTTTGTGAAATAGAGTCAGTTTCCCACCAACACGTTCCAATTTCAGTTGGGGTATTAACTGTAACTGCATCAAGTACAAACTTGGCTGCTAGCTTGTCAGTCCACAAACACTATGTATAGAAGAATGAACAGTCAGTGACCCATTGCATTGCCTTTTTTTCCCCTAATTGCCAGCAGGCATAAGGAGAGAGAGAAAGCACTCCCACAACGGGTTATACTCATGCCACAATCCTTTCTCCTCCATTTCTCTACTTAGGTATTTTGGACCCACACACATGTGCACTTGATGTGTTTTTCAAGCTACTCAGGATGGGATCCAAGCTGTAGTTGGTCACGTGTAACCTAGTTCCCTTAACTACTAGGTCATGGGGCAAGCCCCAGTTACTCTTCTAAAGCCTGTGAGTGACGGTCACTGTGCATCTCTTACCCTGCTCTCACACAACAGTGAAGCATACAGTTGTGTTGCCTCTTTTGTCTCCTAGAGAGAGATCCATGTCAGTCATTGTTTATAAAGATGATCCTCAAAAGAGGCACCTAGCCAACAAAGATAAAAATGCAGCAAAGAAATAAAAGTGATAATGGTGGAGAGGAAATTTGAATTGAGTTATCAATGGAGTTAAAGAAAAAATAACTAGGAATACTGCTACCATTCAAGAGATCCTAGCTATGCAACTGGAGGAGCTTAGAGAAGGCGAGCAAACACAGAACTAACATATGAACATACAAACAGATGAATATAAGAACATGTGATGAAAGGATGAGAATGAGCAAGAGGAAGTGACACCAGTGAAAAACTTCACATTAATTAACTCTCAGAGATAGCTCTCAACACTGAAATTAACAAAGGATAAATGCTGGAAGCTGACCCAAACTTAGACAGGTATATAACGAATCCGCCAAGGCATACAAAAGATGCTTGCTTGTCTTTTAGGTTACATGACACGAGGCCAGCTCTGTTCATACGCTTGATAAGTTTGTTATAAAGAAAGAAAATAGTTTAGTTCTCAATGTTTCCAGTTACTATGAACTAAATAAATATTAGTTTTAACTTTTTTTTTCCTTTTCCTTATTTATTTTTAATCAAGAGTGAAGTTGGTTTTAATGTTTTGACAAAGAAAATGTAAAGGTTAGGGACACTGTAGTTTTCCCCATGGATTATTAAGATCCTTTTGCACGGTTTTTGCTTATATAGCCCAGAACCACCATGCAAAGACTGCCTGCAGTTTCTTTCTATCTTTTTTTACATTTAACTTTTATATACTTATAAAGTATATAAGTATATTTATTTATTATTTTAATTTGACCAGAGAGGGACAGAGTGAAAGAGAGAAAGGGAAAGCAAGAAAGCTAGCTGCCCAGTCCGGGACCCAAACTATGGTCGGCCATGTGGGAGTCCAGCATCCTTAACCACCATGACACCTGCCAGCTCCTAGACTACCTGTAGTTTCTAATTTTCCTTATTATTTTTATTTTAATCCATGAATTATTTTAATCCATGTGGGGTTCTTAAAGTTTATGTTTTTCCATGAGCAAGCAAGAGACAGACAGACAGACAGAAGCGCACTCCTAACTGAGTCATGACACTGAGATCAAGGGCAAGTTTGTGCCCAGCATACCCAGGGAGGTCTCTGGACATAAACTGAGAACACTTTGATGAGGAATTGCCTCACAGAGTGTCATGTTTTACTGCTATTCCACATCTGACCCCCAAGTAAGTATTTTTAAAGTTCTAAACACATGAGGCTTTGTATTTTTTATTTTTATTTCATTGGTGTCTGGAGATATGGCTTCATAGGCAGTTCTCTTACATTTATTGAATCTTCTTTTGTGATTCTGCTTCATAATAATGTACAGCCATTATCTTGGCAGTATGACATTATGGTCAATGAGGGGTCATATACACGATCATCAAGTGACTGGCTATACCATATAGCTCTGTGTGGTTCAACAAATGGTTTTTTTGTTTTGTTTTGTTTTGGAGAGATTTTTGCTATAGGGCATGTGAACTAGCCAAAGAGACAGAGAGAGACAGAAAGACAGAAAGTGAGAAATCACTGGGGGAAGGCCACGCTGCCATCCCTTCTCCTCCATTCTCCTCTTGGGATTTTGAGCACATGTGCACATGTGCCCGGTGTGAGTTTAAGTCACCAGGTCTGGGACTCGAACCACGGTCGACTATGTGGGAGTCCAGTGACATAACCATTATGCCATCTGCTGGTCCCGACAAATGTTTTTGAATAAAACAAACATGAAGCACAATTTGTTTTCCTTTCTCTGGTCCCTTATATCACTCAAAACAGAACTAGATACGTGCCAAAACTTTGAATCCCAGTTGATTTAAGAAATCTGTTCAAGAGCAGCAAACTGTATGATCACTAACACAACACACTTACTACAAAAGGTGTAGGAACATATCTTGAGAAGAGGTACACAGGAACATCTTTAGCCAGCAGGACTGCAGCTGTGAGTTTAGCAAGCCTAAAAGCGAGAGAGAGCGAGAGATTTCACTTAGTCAGCTCACCTGATTGGTTAAAAAAACAATCTTTCATATAACAAATATTTCTTGTTACAGTTATTCTAAATATATAGAATAATACATCTAAATATAATATAGTAATAATGTAAAAATGTAAATAATGCAACAAATTCTTATAACCACTGATTATCCAACTTAAAAAAGGTTAAGTAAATAAGACTTTTTAAAGAGGAGCTTAACAATGAATAGAATTGCTATTCCAATTTCTTTCTTTTCCCTCATTCATCACTTGATGACCCCTTTACTAAGAAATAAGACTGTAAAAGGCAAGAAGAATGGAGGAAAGTGAAATAAGAGACTCTGATAAACCCAATATGCATAATTACTCTCTGAAAAAAGGTATCACTATATCACAATTTATAAACATTTCCTAAAATGAATCAAATAGGACTATAATGAGAAAATGCAAGCTACATAATTACTCCTATCTGAAATAATAAAATTATAAGCTATGACGTCATTCTAAATATAAACTCTAAGTACTGACATTTTACTTCTTTGTAAAAATCTAAAGCTTATCCTTGAAATGCTTTTCCTTCTATTTCATCTCTAAAATAAACACTATCAAGTGACCACATTTCTATTTGATCGTCTCCCGTTTCAGAAATCCTGCTGGGCACAGAAGAACTTTCTTTTAGCTGTCTTATTCCACCCCAATGTAACCTCTGAAACAATGAACACGGCACCTCTGGCTGCTGCAGCTGCTGGTTACTTGACCCCGAGTGTCATACCCAACAACAAAGCCTCTCTGCTTGAAGTCTGAAAAACATCTCTCAAGGTATTTGTACATCCCCTGAAGCAAATAAACACAAAAGATTAGTTCCTGACCAATGTTTGTGATTTTTACAACTTAGAGCTCTTATTTTTATGTTGGTGGTGCAGCTTACTGGCTCCAAGGGAACTGGCTTTTGCTTTTACACTTATGTTTACTAATGGAGGGGCAACACTGCTCCATCCACGAATGGGAGATAACAAACATTTCCTGGGTTTTTAGACACATTAAATACCACAGTCCTATACAATACATAAAACATTAAAAAACAGATGGGACATGAGAGTCAGTAAGCTATATTTTAAATAAGCCAAAACAAACTCTTCTTGACACAAGGTGCTAGAGAACAGAATTTGGATCACCTTAGGCCCCTTCTAAATAGCAGGATTGGAGCTAACTAGAAGATCTGACCTGGTTATGACACAAATATTTTTAATTAGCAACATAGTTCTCCACTGGAAGATTTCTTTCTTTTTTTTTCTTTCCAAGTTTGCTAGAGAGCGTGTATGCTCCCCAGAAAGAAAGGGAAGAGGAGAGAAAGCACACGCGATGAGGAATTTGTATGCTGCAATCCCTTCTCCTCCATTTCTCCCTCCCTTCAGAATTCTGGGCACACATGCTCACATGTCTGGCTTGTTTCTCAAGCCACTGGGTCCAGGACTCGCACAGTATAGACGACCACAGGGATCCAGCCGTCTAAATTACCAGATCACAGGCTAGATCTGGAACATCTCTTAAGATGACTGATCCCATTTGTAATTCTTTAGCTTTGAAATCTCACAGGAAAGAAAAAAGATTATTGAATAGGAAAATTTGCAATCAAGCATGACCCCCCCGCAAAAATGAAATGAAGTATTTCATATCGAAAACATCACAATAAGCTAAACCCACTTACCTATCTTTAATAGTTTCATCTCTAACAGTAATACTTTATATTGTTACAGTCCTTAAAAATTGCTTTCCACGCACCCTATAACAACAACAACAAAAAAAAAAACTCTCCAAAAAAATATTGCTTTCACAAAACAAAGGGAAGCTTTCATCCTTGTAACAGATGAAAATAAAGAAATACAGATACCATTTCTATTTTCTACTCTGCTTTTCTATATTTCTTTTAGAAAACAGGAGACAGAATAAAACTGAGTCTCCATTTAATGACTTGCCCGAGGCTATACCTTCAACTAAAACAAAGATACAACGATTTAGCGAAACCTCCTCTATGGCGGACACTGCTCAGTAAGTATGTGGTAGGACCAAGTGAGGCCCAGTGACTTCTAGGGCAGGGCCTTTCAAGGGCAATTATTTCTCCTGGTCTGCTCCCTATGAGACAGAGAGGGTATATGCTTGTGTGTACTTACTATAGCCTAAACTGGCTGGCTTTGCCAACTTATTTCTAATGGTGATGCATTATTCCCTCTTCCAAGAATTCATCTTAGCCTCCTCTATTTAGAGTCTAAAAAGGGGTAGGGCTTAACAATCCACTTGGCCTTTCCACTTTGCACAGCAGAATCCCAACGCCTATAAAAATTTGCACTTCTGGGGACCAACAGATGGTGTAATGGTTATATTCCTGGATTCCCATGTAGTCGACCATGGTTTGAGTCTCGGACTTGGAGACTTAAAACTCGCACTGGGCACATGTGCGTGCATGCACAAAATTCTGAGGAAAATGGAGTAGAAGGGATTGTGGCATAGCCATCCCCTCAGGGGGGATTTCTCACTTTCTGCCCCTCAGTCTCTCTGGCAAGCACATGTACCCTATAGCAAAAATCTCTCTTAAAAAAAAAAAAAAAATCGCACTTCTGGCCCAACAGCGGTGGCATGCACTGTTAAGACACTGCTACTCCACAGTGGAGGCCACATAAGAGGCCTGAATTTGACTCTGGACAGACCTGAAAGCTGGATGCCATGAGGCATCCCTGTGGTCTCAGCTACTCAGGAAAATACCTTTCCCCCCAAGAGGAGAGTGGAGTAGGGACTGGATCCACCGGGGATGGTTTCTCACCTCTCCCCCTCTCTCTTTTACTCTCTTACACTTTCTCTGGCAAGTCCAAGTACCCCACAGCAAAAAAAAGAAAATTCTCATATGGATATGAAAAACCATGTTAAAGGGAAATATTTCAACTACATTTTCCAAATTCTCTGGTTAATATTAATAAATGTGTTAATTAGATATGTCAAGATCCATTTCTTGGTTTCAAACACAAGGGAGGCTGAGGCAGGAGAATCATGACAGTGAGACTGAGTCTTAAAAAATATAAATAACAGGAAGGCCAGCTGCAGTGGTACAGCATTAACACAGTGATCCGCAGTGCTGAACCCACATGGGAAGGGCCCGCGTTGATGTCCCAGGGTCTCCTGTACATGCCAAGTGTACATGTGTGTGCCTGAAGTCCAGGCTGGTTGAGCCTGGGGGCAGGTCACAGACAAGGATTCCCCTGGGGTACCTCTCTTTCTGTCTCTCTCTCATGGAAGAAATATATAAATAAACTTCAAAAAAATTTTCACTCCTACAGAAATTGACTTTTCAAATACCTTTTCCCCTAAGAGGAGAGTGGAGAAGAGATTGTACCCTCAGGGGATGGTTTCTCACTTCCCCTCCCTCTCTCTCTTTTACTCCCTTTTTCTTTTTCCAGCAAATCCGAGTGCCCCATAGCAAAAAAAAAAAAAAAAAAAGAAAGAAAAAAAATTCTCATATGGATATGAGAAACCATGTTAAAGGGAAATATTTCAAAACTATTTTCCAAATTCTCTGGTTAACCTTCATAAATGTGCTAATTGGGTATGTCAAGATCCATTCTTTGGTTTCAAATACAAAGTAATACTCTCAAGAAGTTAACGATGTCAGCCAAATTAACTCTGAATCAGAAAATGAGTCTGTGATTGTGGAGACACACAAATGACTTCTAAGATCCATCTTGGGCAAGATCAAAAGTTGCAATTTAGTCTACAATTGTTTTCTTATAGGAGAATACCTTCCTGGAAATAAAGCTTTTTGTTTTCCACTAGAAAGGCACTACTTAATTTATAAAGCTGAAAAGAGAGTGAAAAAAAAATACACATATCATACTTTTCCGTGCTCACCTGTGTAGACTGTATTACTGTGAGGTCATTGATATAGCAAAACCCTGCGCCCATGGCAGAGCGAAGGCCTGCTGTCCCGAAGGTCATCCGGCAACAGAGACGATCTCGCAGCTCCTTGTTCATCCCATTCCGTAACAGATTTTCAATCTGCTCTTTTGTTTTGGGATTCTAAACAAAAAACGAAACCTAGTCAGAACTGTAAATGGAGTCCTAATATTAAGTTTTTTTCAGAGGCCAATCGGCAAATATTACAAGGCTCGGTGTTTGCTATAAGTTCCATGGTGGCACTTCCTGTATAGCTAGTAACTATACTAGAAACGATACCTACCATTTACTAAGTCCTCAAGGGAGCCAGGTCCTGTCGAGGGGGTTTATGCATCTGTAATTGTTACAGCATTTAAAATGAAATGCCATCAAAATATGACTATCAGGGCTCAGTCACACACTGGGAGGCTGAGGCCATGCTGGAGCCCAGGTTCGGCTTTAAGCCCAACGTAAACCTAAACTGGTGCGGGCCTGCTTGTCCTAGCTAACTGGGAGACAGGGGCAGGAGGATCACAGCCTTAAAAGACCCTGTCAAAAATCTGAATCTCGGGACCAGCAAATGGTATAATGGTTACATCACCGGATTACCATGTAGTTGACTGCAGTTCGAGTCCTGGACACAGCAGCTTAAAACTCAGGCCAGGCACTTGTGCGTGTGTGCCCAAAATTAAAGACAATGTAGGAGAAAGGACTGTGGCATGGCTATCCACCCTGGGGGATGATTTCTCACTTTCTGTCTTTCTGTCTCAATCTCTCCGGCAAGCGCACATGTCCTATAGCAAAAATCTCTCTCAAAAAGAAAAAAATCTGTATCTCAATTCCTTTTCCTCTCCTTTCATTGCTCCACCCTTCTCTCTTATAAATTTAAAAAAAAAATGTTTTAATGGCTACTAACTACCTGCTTAAATCTCTGCAATTCAAAATGAGCAACTGCTTTTTAAAATCACAAGAAAATCATGTATAACTTAGAAGACTCGATTAGTTTCCATTTTATAAATGGCACATATTAACAAATACACAACCTACATAAAAATATCAATAGTTACTAGAGAAAAATCAAAACAATATCTGGGATTCTAGCCAATGATTCTAGTGTCTAAGATATCACCAGATTTGACAGGTCAGAGAGACAGGTCAGGGTTCTCATTTTTCTAGAACAGCAAAAACCCGGATGGGCTTTTTACATTTGCAGGGACATGGCATCGTCTCACACTGAGTAAACCAGGACCGTCTTCTCAGAGTGATCTGTCCAGTTTTAAAGTGCACATGGTGTTTGGCTCACAGATTTCTCTTTCTACCGCAGTATCCTCACATGAATAAAGACTGTGTTCCTACAAGATTGTTCACTGCAGCATCCTTACTGCTTGTATTATAATCAGCATGTATACAGATGAAGACATGATTTCGAGAAGAGCTATCAGTAGTACTGGAGAGAGGCTGGCAGGTGGTCTGGTAATTAAGGTGCTGGGCTCCCGCATGGCCAACTGCTGTTCGAGTCCCAGATCTGACGGCTTGCTTTCTCACTTTCTCTTTCTCTCATCAAATTAAAAGAAAATAATAATAATAATAAATAAAAATTAAGTAAATAATTCTTTTAAATAGTACTGGAGATTCAGAAAGACTGGAATCAGGTTGGTCTAACTCTAAAGCCTATACCATCTAACTACAAAATAATTGTGTTGGGTGGGTTAATGATACTACTAATAACAATTTAGTTATAGCTATAAAGAAAAACAATATTCCTTTTTTTTTTTTTAAATTTCAAGAGGGCAAGTGTGTCAGCCAGAGGGAGCAAGAAAGCACCTTCCAACGGGCCAGATCATGCTGCAATCCTTTTCCCTGCCTTCTCCATCAAGATTTTAGGCATGAACACACAAGTGTTTTCAAGTTGCAGAGGCCAGGATTTGAACTGTGGTCCACCATGTGGGATCCAGTTCCCCATGCACTGCACTTAAGTACACCACTATGGGGCCAGCCCCCCCCCCAAAAAAAAATATGTGTGTGTGTGTGTGTGTGTGTGTACATATATATATATATATTTTTTTTTTTTTTTACAGATAGCTAAATATAAAAATGACCCACTAGATATTACTACAATTAGGTTACTGAGTATACCTCCTAATGTTTAACTGCATAGCTACTAGAGTAGAGCCTAAGGTGTCCATTCCTATTATAAATGTAACAACTAGTACTAACCTACAGGTTCTTAAAAAGCTTGTAGGTTAGAGAAAAATGAATAAGGAATCATGATGGGTTAAATATAAGTAAATTCATGTGGCAAAAAGAGCTAAACAATTATTAAGGCAGGCATTTAAAATCAACTTTAAACTCAGATTCTCCACTATTAAATAGTAAGATACTAAATTAGATGTTGATGTTACAAAACTTTATAAAAATATAACTTATAAAGTTATCTATGTAGTCATAATTATGATATATTTTTGACTCAAATGATAAAATTATTACTATACTTTGTTACTAAAATCTTTTAATCACTATGATTTTAATAAACTAGAAATCTATGAAGATTATAAAGAACTATAGGCAAATTAATTGCAATTTCTGGTTAAGCCTAGATAAATCAAATGAAAAGCAGAATATATGTTTTAATATGTACAAAACAAGGCATGTTTAAAAAAATAAGAAGAAAATTATTCAACTTATGCCAGCTAAAATAAATAGCCCCTTTTGGAACCAGCAGATGGCACAGCAATTACTTCACTGCACTCCCATGTAGTCAACCACGGTTCAAATTCTGGACTCGACGGCTTAAAACTCACGCCAGGAGTGTGTGCAGCTGTGTGTGCGTGCGTGTGTGCATGCGTGCCCAAAATCTTGAGAGGAGAATGGAGGAGAAGGGATTGCAGCATTGCCATCTCCCCTTGGGTGGTGGTGGTGGTGGTGATTTCTCCCTTTCTGTGATTTCTCCCTTTCTGTCTCTCTGTCTCTCCAGCAAGCGCACACACCCTATAGCAAAAATCTTAAAAAAAAAAAAAAAAAAAAAAAAAGGAAA